AAACACCCTTCTGATGTGTGTCTGGACCAAGCAGTAGTGAGAAACTGGTGCATTACTGTTGTGCTCTACTGTACCACCAACAATGTACTGTAATTGAATATAACAGTGCAAGTTTAAAGTTGCAAATGAATTTCTTAGGTTGATCATGAAACTGAGACTTTTTTTTAAGGATAAAAGTAGTTTACTGTAACATCAATTCAGTGAAAGAGTTAGAATTAAAATAATACATAATGATTAATTAACCACAAGCTTAAGAGATGAAAAATATAAGACTGGCTAATTTTTATTATACATTAATGCTATACATCACCGACATGATAAAAATATGAAAAGGATGTAACGACCCTTATTCTATTTGCAGACATATATACTGTATATGCTTACAGTACAGAATGTATACTGTATACAACTATACAAATAAATACTGTACCCCTTATTCCTACAAACACTTATTTAACAGTGGTACTAATATAGCACAATTTGTTCATATACAGTACATTACATAGTTGTATCTTACACAGATAAATTTCATAAATAAACACTGAAAATGTACTAAAATTCATCTGCAACTGTTTGGTATGTAATGTTGTCTCACTCCAAACAATACATATACTGTACTGTACACTACAAGTACTCATTACTGTACTGTAGTTGCAAAAAAATTACTGTAGTGTAATATCGAGAATGGAGATTTTTCACAAATACTGTACATGTACTATACAGTAATATATACTGGACTGTACATGTCATTAGAAACTCAATTCAGAATCTATTTTAAATAGCCAAATAATCTTAATTAACTTTGTAACAAAAGGATCATGATTCAGTATTTTGTTTATTCTGTTTAGTGTAAACTTTCAATAAAATAAACTTTTCTCTACTTTATTATTCACTAAATTCAATAAATGAAAATGTGAAATGTCTCTGCTTTGATTTTTCTAATAAGATCTTATGATTATACAATTTTCATAAACAACTTAAAATATGTAAATAAGTACAGTTCTAACTAAAACATGGAATAGTTCATTTACATTTCTGATAAACTTAAATTGGAGCATCATTTTGTCAGTTTGTTTACTTTTCAAACAAACAAACACACATTTTTCTCTTCACTCTTGCTACCCTATGATGTAGTATGGCAGGAGTGAAGAGAAAACCATACTTTATTTATTAGGACTGTAACTGCTGGAGCAGATGTTCCCCTCCCCTCAAGACAAATATCTTTGGGAATTGTTGTGGAAGGGGAATGCTATAACAACAATTAGTAAATATGAATGCAAGTGAATGAACATAAAGTCTGTGCTGTTCTAGATTTGTAATACCCTGCATCAAAAAAGGGTAAGGGCTTGCAACAATGGGAAAAAACTGTCACTGTACAGTAGTACATTATACAGTACAGTGCATGAATACCAGTCACCTATCCAGAAAATCCTTAGACCTTTGGCCTGCACGTTAATTTCCTACAATGCTCATATCAGATGGTGGTTTTACTTTATTGTAACCAACGTAATGTGAAGAATCCCCAGGGAAATATTTTGACAATATATTGTGGCTTTCATTACCTGCATGGAACAAAGTTTAGATGACCCAAGTTTTGGGGATATACAGTAAAACCCCATAATTCATACTCCTCTAATTCGAAATCATTCACAATGTTTTGATGTTACAAAATAAATGTGATTTTTTTATTAATATTTGGTAAAATTTGGAAATATGTGAGACATTTCAAAATATATATACTGTACGGTGACCCCTCGTTTAACGAACGCCTCGGTTAACGAACTGCCTTCCATAAGGATCTTCAATTCGGTTAACGAACAAAAATTCGGTTAACGAATTTCTTACGAACCGACCTCAACATGTTTTCGCTTGCACTGACCGGGCAACCAGCTTTAGTATCAGTCCGCCAATACATTAATCGGTTCTAGGGCTTAAATTCCTTACTATTTTAGTAAATATCAAGAAGTTTATACTATTCAATAATTTTAAAAGTTTAATATTCAATTTTTCAGTCATTTTAACAATTATTAACATAATTGAAGGTAAAGTGACTAGTTTAATGCGCATCCAGCCTCTTAACACAGCAAACAGGCGTTAGTCTCTCTGTTTTCACTGGAGGTAACATCTTGCTTGAGACTCTCTTCAACTAAACGCTTTTTTTCTGTGTTTCCAAGCAAATTATTGGTCATTTTGAAATATATTTTACATATTGACAATATATAATGCAGTGCAGTGTTGATTTAAAGAAAATAATCTTGAAATACACCAAGAGAACTAAAATTTTATGGGTGAAATGGTGCCATGGGGTGACTTCTCTTCCACCCCAATGCCTTCTCTTCTTCCTTCTCCTCCACCCCCATTCTAAATCCCATCATCATCATCATCATCCAGGAGCCTTCTACATACACACCTCAAAGTAAGTGAACTTTTCTACCATTTTTGTTGAATTTAGGAAATTTTCGGTGAGCTGGAACCAATTACCCAAAAACCCATTGAAACAATGGTTTCGGTTAACGAACTTTTCGGTTAACGAACGACCTTCTGGAACGGATTGAGTTCGTTAACGGAGGGGTCACTGTATTCAAAATATTCCTGGCCTTGCAAGGAATCCAGCAATGTCAATTATATTATCCTAACTTTAGTCTGAGGTATTATTTATTACTAAAAATGTAAATATACTGTTATAACCCAATCATTTCTCTGGTAGGGAGGGAAGGTGGGGGTGAGGGGTAGGGAGGGAGGGAGGGACCCAGGGAGCAGGTGGGAAGAGGGGGGAGGTGGGGTATTTTGATTGACAGATAGTATTTCGGTAAGTATATTTTGTTTATTTATTGAAGATATTTGTTTTAGCTCATAAAATTCATACAAATTACCGGGCCAGAATATAATTTACATTGCTGGAATTCTTACAATTTGATGATCATTTTGAATATAAACATCATAGATTTTGCATTAGACATACAAATTTTAGATCTAATGTAAGTATTTTGTTTACTCTGAGTAAATATGTTATCTTTTGTGCAAAATATATGACATTTATATTCAAAATATTCCTGGTCTTACAAGGAATCCAGCAATGTCAATTATATTATCCTAACTTTAGTTTGAGGTATTATTTATTACTATACCTTAAAATCTAGTGGTTTTCCCCAAAAAATTTCTCAGAGAGGGAAGAGCCAGCGAGTGTAGTGTGAGAAGAGGGGGAGGGAGTTGAGTCCATTATTTGAATGGACATTAACTTGGCAACTGTATTTCTCTATTTCTCTTAAGTATTAATTGTGTGCATGTACCATCATAAAATCAAGATGTTATTTTTACTAGAACATAGGTATTGTGTCGGAAAAAGTGGAGTTTGGGGGTCAGCCGGTCTCTATTTCATTTAATCCCATCTGTTATGTTGTTCACTTTACTCGTTTCTAACTTTACGCGGGCCTCCGTGGGTTCAATTGACCGCGTAAAGTGAGGGTTCACGGTGTATATATATATATGTATATGTGTGTGTGTGTGTGTATATATATATATAAATAAATCGTGTGCCCTGGGTGTCTGCTTGGGAGGCCACATCCCCCTACCAGGCTGAGGTAAGAGTATGTTATGACTATTTTTCAACTTGTAATTTTGGGTAGGTATATAAATGTAACTTTCTTCAGATTTTTTTTTATTCATTTACTGTACATACCCACACAATCCTACATACAGAATTAGCAGGATGAGCTGGGGGAATTATGTTATGGATATTATTCAACTGGTAATTTTGCAAAAATAAAAAAATGTAAAATAAATAACTATCATAAGGTAAAAAACTGAAAGAGAATAAACACTTCTTTGTGTGTGACAGTTGGATGTAGGAGCAATGCTAAGGGTCGGGAGGGGGAGTGTTCCCGGCCAACTGGGTTGACATGGCGAGGTTTGAGGGCGGCAGAGCAGCCACACAGCCAGTGTTTATACGATTGGCCGCTGCGTTAAACTTTAATTTAGCTTTTCCTTAATGGTTTTAGCTCATATTTTCATCTAGATTGTATTTCATTAATTTTTTAATGTGTTACTATTTATACTTAGTAAGGTAAGGGTTTTTCTTGTTTGTGAACGAATTTCGTGTTTTCAGGTATGATATTGGGTTATTTTTGTCTTTGGGGAACTCAACCCTATTTTCTCACTCGCACTGTTATTCGACTAATGAAAATTCACTTAATGAATACCTTTTTTAACTTAACCCATTTGTATATTGAGGGATACCTGTATACAAAAAGTAATAATACTGATGATGATTAAAAACATAAATAATAATAATAGGAAGAAGCATAAATAATAATAATACAGTAAAACCCCGCTTTACGCGGTTTCACTTTAAGCGTTTCCACGTTTACGCGGTACCCTGCCGAACACGGAATGCTCACTTTACGCGGTGCATGTACTCTTTTAAGCGGAGAGCGGCGCGGGCAGGGTGCGCACAAGGTCGCCCAGTCATCAAAACATTACCGAGTTCTTCACCCGCCACCCACCACAGCCGGCCCAAGTCAGTGATAGTGATAATGATAGTGAGGACATGGACTTGTATGGACTTTGAGGGGTTTGACAAAGAGGCCCTGCAAGCCTCTGTGGTGGATAGTGATACAATTGATACAAGTGATACAGGTGAGGGCCAATAATCTGCCCTCTGCCTCGGAACCAACCCACCATCCCCGTGTGCCCAGCCATCTTTTCTACTAATGTAAGTGTTAAAAAACCTAATATTATTGATATTTCTCTTAATTATTAATTGTATGTGCATACCATCATAAAATTAAGAAATTATTTTTACTACAACGTAGGTATTGTGTCTGAAAAAGTGGAGTTTGGGGGGTCGGCCCAGTCTCTATTTCAATTAATCCCATATGTTATGTTGTTCACTTTACGCGTTTCTCGCTTTACACGGGCCGCCGTGGGTTCAATTGACCGCGTAAAATGAGGGTTTACTGTACAGTAATAATATTAACTACATTGATGATAATAATAATAATATTAATCATGATGATGACAATATTGATAATAATAATAACAATTATAATAAAGTACTGTACTGTTTAGTAATAATAATAAAATACTACTACAGTACAGTTGCCCCTCTACCTACAAACATTCAGAGATAAATCATCGTTGATGAGAGAGGTTACCTGTCATAGAAGGTGTTTAATGTGGATGATGCTGGATTATATTGGAAGAAAATGCCCGATGGAGCATACAGTGCCAAAAAGAGGCAGAGTGCCAGGTCTTAAGGCTGTTCTGTAGAGTACAGCTGTACCATACATCCTTTATCTACGAACAAGCCTCAGGAATGTAACTCATTCGCAAGGAGATAAGTACAGTACCTGTATTAATAATGCCGTGATGATGATGATGATAATAATAATAATAATAATAATAATAATAATAATAATGGCTGTTCTAAAAATTTTGTGGGTATAAAAGTAACACTAATGATAATAATGAAAATAAAGGCATTAAATATAAGTATTAAATCCCTGGATTAATTTTATTTACCATTTATGGATCTGCAAGTGTACCAATGACCATATATTACTGTACTTTCTCTCTTGTATATTGTCTATCAACCACTGTACATATACCATTCTGAAAGTCAAAGAAGGTAAATGCTTACCCCTTTCCATATGGCAAAGTGCTGAACTTTAAGCAGTAAATTTAACACATGAGCTGAGGGATAATGTTTACTGAATGGGCAGGGGGAATTGCACATTAAGTAGTGTAATGTATATAAACGAGAATCATAGATGGGTAACATGAAGACACCGGGAGTAGCTGATCTGGCAATAAACAATGATATATAGAATATAATAATGAATGTTTAGTGTTGTGTAGACATCAACATTGTGTTTCAGGCTACCTTGAAGTCTTTATTACATATGCGGCTATAGACAAGAATCATCAATGGAAAATGAATAAACTACTACTTGTGTGGCTGTATTGCTCTGAATGACCAGAAGCCTGATACACCACATGGTAGATGACCCACACAATCTACATATGAAACTAATAAAACTAATTTTAAAATAAGGGAATTATGGCAAAACAATTAAATTTCTTTATAAATTTCGACATTAGATAATTCTCGGTTTTCAACATGATAGTTCTGCATACAACACAGTAAATTAAATATTGCCTACTGCATGAACCAATATGAAATTAATGAATTGCAACTACAGATGCTTACTGTCCAAGATGTGGTTCCATCTACATAACATACATAAAAAAATAGTAAAAAGTTCTCAAAATCATAATTATAATGTTGTTTCATAGTTATGGATTGACATTAGAATATGGGCAACATACAATGAAAACTATGAAATAATGATTACACTACAGCATCAGTTTATCAACTTGTATGAATAACTTCTAATGGAATGTGTGACTCTTATTGCTTTTCCCATAGATATTTATGTAACAAATATAAATTCTCCAACTGAATAAGACTCTGGGGAAACTAGTTATTTTTTACAAGGAAGAATACATGAGTTTTTACACATTACAAAACAAAATATAATAGGATTTTAACCCATCTACCAAGGCCACTGAGAGACACAGAGCCCTGTATTACCAACAAATTTACTACTGTACATCTAAAAAAATGTCTGAATTGTTTTAATACTGTTAATGGTCATTATCATCATGGATAAAAAAAAATCTAATTCTTCAAAACTTGACTTATTCACACGTACTGTACTGTACTGTACTGCATATACTGAAAAGCAATTCAAAGCCATATAGTTGGGTCCCTGAAATTAAGTTCATAGCATCTTTGGCCACTTCTTCACCAAGACATTTATGAAAATCATGTTGTACAATTGACAAAAACTCATTAGGCTGAGGTGGCCAATCTTCGCCAATTCGCTTCCTCCAATACAGCAGATTTATGGCATTGTAAGTTGAGTTCTTAAATGGTCTGAATATGAAGGTGTGAAATTTATCTAATAAATGTAGATACAGTATTACACATGTTAAATAAATCCAGACCAGTAATTTGTTGTCTTGTACTGTACTGTGAATTTATATTCACAGTATATGGTAAATGTTTATAAACTAAATAATTTCATGATATTTAGGTAATTCTATCTTCCATTAAAAAGTGATCACAGTAAATATATCACAAGGTTACTAGAACCACTAATCAAGTCTATTATATTATGAATATTTGTACATACTTTAAAGTCTACCACTCTGGAAAATTTAAATGCCTTTCTTGAAGTGAAAACATAGATGTTAAATTTAAGTTATTATAGTGCCAGGGGGAGCAGCACCCTGAGCAATAATAAAAGAGCCATCAGCTAGAGTGTGAGCATGAGCAACTAAGGTGGCTGCCATGGCCTGTTCTTCTGCTGCTTGTTGTTCTGCAGACGGACCCCCTAACTGTATCTTGTGCTTACGCCACATATGAGCTTTCAAGTTACCTTTGGTTTCTGATGCATATTCACAACGAGGACAAGGGAATGGTTTTTCTCCCGTATGAATTCGAAGATGGACATTTAGAGTCTCTTTCCGTTTGAAACTCTTTGAACAAAAATCACACTGGAACTGAGGTCTAGTTTCATGAACCATACTGACATGTTTTTTGAGTGCCATGGCACCTCGCATGACTTTGCCACAAATCAGACAGGCCACCTCTAATTTGCGGTCTTCATGTTGACGTTCATGCATATTGAGCTTCCATTTTTTGCTAAATGTTTCACCACAATGACTACATATGAAAAGCCCTCCTGTATCTCCAACCTGAATATCATGTAAGCTATATTTATGTCTTGCTAATGACTTTGAATTTGACATTTGCTTATTACACATTTCACATATGAGGTTTCGTTTAATACACTGTCGATCGGGGCAAACAGGATTGTCAGGGCTAATTGGCAACGTTAAATCTTCACCTTTGCACTCTTTTTTACGACAGAAGTTGCAACCTTTGGCCAAAAAGACGGCTAAACTTAGTGGAAGTATTCCCCGATCTTCCACTTGATCTACCATTATATGCATTATCAACTCCTCATGGAATGAAGGGTTTACATACAGTTCAAGGTCAGACACTGCCCTCCGTTTCAAATCTGTGCTTACTTGTTGAAAGCATGCTCGTGTTAGAGCACTCCCTGGACCTGATAAGAGTTCTTCCCCGTCTCCTGCCATCCTATTCACAAGATCATCAAGGTCCTGCGGTGTGGACGAGTCATCTGGTAAGACATCTCCTTCAAGTAATGGAGGCATGAGGGTATCCTTACTGTCTGCTCCGGTGCCTCCACTACCTGCATCTGACCTCCCTACTGTTTTTCTACCCATTCGAATCCTATAACGATACATTGCTATCATATGGACATATTTAGAAATGTGTGTTGGATCAATCTGGTGGTAATTAATAATCTGCATATCACCCACTGTTATTGTTTCTACCTCCTGTACAACTGAGTCACCTATGGAAGCTTTATTATATGCTTCATCTATAAGTGGGTTTCCAGTGTGAGTGACTAATATTTCCACACTGAATCCACTTCCTTCATTGTCCCCACTTCCTTGTTGATTCATCAGATTATTTTTCTCAAGAACCTCATTCATCACTTCTGAAAAAAATTTAGTCAGATCATTCTGATCAAACAGTTTGGTAAGCAAAATATCTGCATGCCAAAGGGTTATTATGTGTTGAGATGTTCGAGCAATCTGAAGTGTTGATGCAGAAGGGTCAAAGAGCTCCTCAATCTTTCCAAGGAATGGGGTTAGTGCACTGTCTACAATCTTCTGTACAGATACCTGCAAAAAAAAAAAACGTAATAAGAAGCCGATTACGCGCTTTAGTGTAATTCACATCTTCAGGGGTGAGTACAGACTAAAGAGAAGTACAAAACAAGGTGTATATATACAGAGGAGGGTGAGACCAGTTGTTTTGTTTGAATATGCAAGTGATCCAGTAACGTAACTTTGAGGTCTTTAGTAAAGTGTTCATGTGACATCACCTTACAAGATGTATTTTATGACAGTCATGTCAACCCATTCTGTCCAACTCTCACGCTCGACTCCTCTGTGACAGGTGACTGATTAGACCACGGGTGGTCGTTGTATGCCAGGATGCCATCCAACACCAGTATGGAGATGGCTGAAGGCTGTTAAGATCAGATAGCATCATGTAACAGGGTGGTGTGGTGAGCTGAGATCTTACGTAAAGCCAGCCGCTCTGATGAGGTGGCCAGTATGTGTTTGCTGTCCATGTTGATCTCACATGTAGAGTAAACACGTCCAGCTGATAAGCTGAGTAGGGTTACTTATTGGGCGTGTTATTCATCCAAATATCCATGTATGTAGTCTCCTCAGATGTATGGGTGTTTGGGGTGAACAAGTATATGAGGGTCACCACTTTACTTCTCGGTGAATGTAACAAAGTAGCGCAGGGAGGCTTTTAGTCCTGGTGTTATTACTAAGAGTCCTGTTAGTATGTAAAAGCAAAATTTTCAGGTAACCTGTATTGGTGGTGCTCAAGGGTGTTGCGTGCAAGATTATAATGTTGGGTCTCATTATAAAGTAAACCAAGTAATGGTGGACATTGGAAGGTGTACCTAATTGAGAAGTACAAGTTGAGTGGAGCCAAGGAGATGATCCTTGTAGTTTTGTATTATTGAAAGAAGTCATAAGACTAACTCCATCTTAATAAACCATCTTTATTGTATGTTGGGGACATCATTATTATCCCTGCAGTATTCACCTTTGTTTCTCCCTATATCTTGGTAGCAGTAATTAAAATATACCTCTGTGTCCTAACCCTCAAGCCATGCTACCACAGTTAAGAGGTTAGGGGGTATCTTGAGAAGTAAAGTAACTAAGAAATAGCTAACATAAGAAGTTAATAAAGTAAGAAATGGAAAGAAAGTAAGTTTGAAGAGAGAACCAGTGAAGAAGGTACAAAGAAAGGAGAAAATTAAATATAATTTCAAAACCTACCCTACAAACTGGTTAAAATTAGTGGGATAGATAAAATTGAATTAAATTAGAAAAGAATCCCCTATACCATGAACCTAACTCCCCCCTCCCTCCCCCTTTTCCACTTGACCAAGGTTTCTATACAGTATTCGTGGATTCTGCCTTAACAAGGGCCAACTGTATAATATACAGTTTTCACTGTTACATCATTAAAGATAAATATTGTTAGGTTAGACTTTGGGGTCAAAATTCTTTGGGCAAGAGCATGTCTCAGTGTATACCAAAAGTTTATGGGTAAAAAATTTCTGGGATGGAATTAATCTAAGATTTTAACACAGGATCCTTTGGGAAAATAGGTCTCATTTAACAAGAAGAGCCTTGTTAAAACATTCTTTCAAGAATCCATGTTACTCATTAAATGCAATCTTACTGAACGGTACTACACATGGTTAGAGAAGTGGTTACAGTAGTGATATTCATCAGCATTATAACACCCTATTTGCTCTTTCCTTTTCAGACACTCCTAACTTCTCACCCTTCCTGTATCCCAAGCATACTTCTCTTTTAACCTTCAACTTCATTTCAATCAAAGCCAAGACATCCATATTCCTTTCCTACATTACCACTTGTTTATTTCCCCATCACCACACTCAGACAAACTCTTCCTTCTTCTTGGTAAAAAGTGTACAGATGAGAGGGTGGAGGAGTGCCTCTTGGGTTATTTGTATGACATAGGCTATCACAGAACTCAACAAGGGGAGGTCTTCTGTAGGATAATAACCCCGAGGTTGGTTGGAGAACATCATGAACAAAACTACAGTATTAGGGTAACTAACCTTCATTTTACCATGAACGTCATCTCCACCATCCTGGTCAACAGTTTTTCTTCTTCTGCGACGTTCTTCACCCCGGAACCCTTCCTCTCCGCCGCCATCCACATGCCCACCAGTTTCAGACAAAAGTGGCATAACTAAATTCTCTAGGTTGTCTTCTCCATGCTCACGTCTCATACGTTTTCTAGCACGACGAGGTTCCTTTTCCTCTACCTGAAGCAAATTCATAATAAAATAAGCATATCATGAAAAGCCTCTGTTCACCTTCAATCTAGTGTGTATGTGTATGTGTATGTGTGTGTGTGTGTGTGTGTGTGTGTGTGTGTGTGTGTGTCTAAGATCTACTCTACATCCCATCAAGCATTATTTAGATATGAAGGAATATTTAAAATAAGACAAATCTGGATTAATAGTCTTACCACTAAACATGTTAGTAATTCAGTGAATACAGTATATGACTCTTTCATTTCAATATATAATCTTTGGTACCTCTCTATAATAGGTCTGAAATATACTACTTTATATAATATTCAACAGCTGTAAGAAATTACAATACTGTATACACCTCATTTATTGACATTAGCACACCATGTTGAGTTCAGTATTAAATCTAAAATCAAAATCTTAGTCGCCTCATATGCACTTCAAGGGAGAGGACAGTAGGGAGGTAGGGGGAGGACAGTAGGGAGGTAGGGGAGGGGTGCATGGCTTGGCTGAGTCGCTCACAAACTCGTCTCTGCACATCTACATCACGAGAGACTACACAGACCACGTGACTGCTCGTTCCACATATTCGGCTGGGTAAACTCATCACAGCAACCACCAGGCAAGCTACTGGGCCAACCTGTGAGGTGTTATGGTTGTTTTTCAACTCGTATTTTTGGGTAGATATACGTACCTTTCTTCATTTATTTTTACTTAGGCACACACCATCCTAAATACATATTGTGAAAAAAGTATAAGAAATGATTGTCCGAAGGGCAAACCTGTACTGTACTCAAATGTACTAAGTTAATTACTAAAATTTGTATGTCTAGTGCAAACTATGGGATGTTTATACTTAAATTAATGACTATCTTACAAGAATTCCAGCAATTTAAGTTATATTCTGCCAAGTCAGTTCAGTGACATTTTATAAGCGTAAAACTTCAACTCCCTCTATATGACTGATAAATGCGCACTAGGTAACCTTCGCCGCATGGCTGTGTCCTCCCCCATCCTCCCAGCCAGGGCGAAGGTGGTTTTAGGCTTAAAGTTTTTGTCCATTTGTGGTTCTGACATGTGATGAAAAACAATGTTATTAGATATAAAGCAATCACATACTGTACTGTACATGACCCAGAAGTAAAAGCTAGATATTGTCAAGAGTTCAAGACATTTTATCCACAACTGTAGATCATTTCATCTAATGTCATATTTTTCAGGAACACATCCCAACACAAATACTGTAGAGGATTTGTTGAATCTACCATATCTGTCTACATCTTCAAAAACTGAGTGGCCATCATACAATTGTCTTCCCAAAACAGCATACCATCCCACCACTCTAAAACTTATTTGCAACATTCCTGTTGTAATCTTATAGCAGTCTATAATCTAACATTTTCTCCACATATCTAAAAATTAAAGCATTTATCAAAACAAACTCAGTGTGTGGAAATTATTTACCAGAAATATATTTTCATAGAGAATTTGTGATTTGTAAATATTGCCCCTTGGCAGCTTGCCACTGGGAGCATTATAGCATCTTCGTATGTGCAGATGGTGGGCTTCTGTAATACAGTACAGTAATTCATTGCTGAATGCTCTTGTTGTTAGGGGCATGTCATGGATTTTACTGTATAATTTAAATAATCCATAATTCACCATAATTTACTAGTATAGATGTATAAATAACGGTGTCGAAGTAAATCACTTTAACCCTGGGAGATTAGTTTACATAAATAAACTAAGATTATATTACAATTGTAAAATAATAATTATTATAATACAGTGAGTCCTCTCCTAATTTCGGGGTTGTGTTTCCAAAAATGTGACGTTATATGGAACAATGTAAAGCGAATCAATTTCCCCATAAGAAATAGATAAAATACTGGAGTTATGTTCCTGAGCCTCCCTTTGCCCATGAAATATATAACATATACAGTAATACCCCGCTTTACGCGGTTTCACTTTCCGCAATTTCGCATTTACGCAGTACCTCGCCAGAACCGGACTTTCACTTTACGCGGTGCATCTACTCATATACGCGGGAAGCGGCGCGGGCAGGATGCGCACAAGGTCGCCCAGTAATCAAAACATTTCCGAGTTCTTCACCTGCCACCCACTACAGCCGGCCCAAGTCAGTAATAGTGATAGTGAGGATATGGACTGATATGGACTTTGAGGGGTTTGACAAAGAGGCCCTGCAAGCCTATGTGGTGGATAGTGATACAATTGATACAAGTGATACAGGTGAGGGCCAATAATCTGCCCTCTGCCTCGGAACCAACCCCCCATCCCCATGTGCCCAACCATCTTTTCTACTAATGTAAGTGTTAAAAAACCTAATATTATTGATATCTTTCTTAATTATTAATTGTGTGTGCATACCATCATAAAATTAAGATGTTATTTTTACTACAACGTAGGTATTGTGTCTGAAAAAGTGGAGTTTGGGGGTCATGCCAGTCTCTATTGGAATTAATCACATATGTCCTGTTATTCACTTTACGCGGTTTTCACTTTCCGCGGTACCCCATGGGTTCAATTGACCGTGTAAATCGGGGTACTACTGTACAGAAAATCATTGCCATTTCTATAGAAAATAATGCATAAATATACAACTACTAAGTTTGTATTGGTATTCACCGATGGGCGGAGGTGGTACAGCGAGTGTGTGGTGGGTAGTGAAGCAGAGGAGGAGGAGTGCGGGAGGGGAGGAGGGTGGTAAGTCACTGAGACTCTGCGCCAAGCCGAGAGAGGGTGATGCGCCATAAAAAGTACCCAATGTGCAGAGTTGTGACTAGTGTCTCCCAAGAAGTCTGTAACAACGCAAAATGACGTTGTACCGAGTCATCAGGACATTATCCGAATAATTGGTCTCTAAAGATAAGGGACGTACTGTAGTACCGAAACAACGTTAAGTGGGCCGATGTTATACGAGGACTTACTGTAACTATTAATTTTATGAAATAACAATCAGTTATCAGAGTATTGTAAACTTATAAATTAAAAAAGACATACGTGTCGAACGATGACTGGCTCTCACGATTTTAGCCGGAAACACCGGCCAGTCAGAGAACAGAAATACTCACACATTACCGTGATGAGCAGACGTACAACTCAGTTTGTCTTAATTTACATTAAACTTTAACTTTATCAATGAAGCTCAACTAAACACTGGCAGAGCCTCAATAAAAAGGAATCATAACACTTCCAGTGGAAATTCAGCCAAGTATCTACCAGTGCTGTTGTGAGAAAGGTTGATTATGCAGGATTAGGGTTGATCATCTCACCTCTCTTCCAGCCACCTCTTGATCATACAGCTCCAGGGCTTCCTTCATTTCAAATAAATTGAGAACTTTCCTGATGGAGGCAGTGCCCTTACCCCAGAGGGTGTTCATGGAACCTGTTTATATGAAGAATACATTATTAAATTAAATAAGGCTTAAAATATTTCCAAATTCCTCTTACAGTACTGACTATTAAAAGCAGAATAATTTGTAATGGCTTTTGTGTGTTGATAGTGTAGTAATAACATGTGAGACTGTGTATGGGTAGTGATACTTATGATAGTGTTGTGATAATACTTTAAAAGAGACAATGTTTTAACAATATGAAGGGAACCAGGGCAGGCACAACACTCCGGAAGCCAGGCAGTTGCCCGGGAGCACCACAAATGTGAAAAATGTCTGAAATGTAGTAAAATTGTTTGGGATTGTCTGGCTGTTACCTGAGTAGCCTGGTGTTTGATCAGCACACATATACCATGAGGGAGAGTCTTCATGATAACCTGTGCTGGGAAGCCATCATGTATAAATTTTAAAATATAAATTATAAAGTCAAATGTTATAAGACAATGGTTTAATAGTGCTGTTAATGTGTGTGTTGTGTAAGTGTCTTGGCCTGTCACCTCACCACCTGACTCCATCACCTCACCCTCCGCCTTGTTAGTTCAGCTTGGAATTACATTGATTTATTACTGTACTATTTTACTTTTTTAGTATTGTATGTACATTTAAAGAAGTATTTATGTTTGCACAGAAATTATAAATAGACCCAGAGCAGAAAAATCCAGAGTTACCCAAGCGGTTGGTCTTCCCACCCACGCACCAACCATGTCAGGATGTAGCTAAACATGGTGCAGTCTTTCATAACGCTGATCAGAAAGATTTGGAAGATTTTTTTTCGCAATTTTCTCAGATTTTCCGGTAATTGCGCATTATTTCATACAGTGAACCCTCGAAGATCTGAACTAAAGGGGGGGACCACTTGTCTGAAAGAGCCAATTGTCAGAATGTTCCGGTGAAGAACTAAATGTATAAAAAACAATAAATAATGATATAAAAAACCCACCAAAAATACAGTAGTGTACATATTATCCTGACAACTGGGGTTATTTATACAAACTTTTTACTGTGAAAAAAAAACCATTATTCTGAGGGGTACAGAAAATACCTCCCCTGACCTTGAGTAAGCAGCTTTGCCGCTTGTTAGAAAAAACATCCATATGTTTATTTCATAATTTTTTTTTTTAGTTTCATTTGCCAAGGTGCTACATTCATATTACTGTACTTATTTTGTGTGTGAAAAAAAATATATAATAAAAAATGCATATACGTACTGTTTTAATTCCCCGTGTGACAGCACTGAGAGGAAGTAGACTTGGTAATACTGTACCAGCCCAGGATTTAAATGCCATGTAGCACTTTTAAATGAGGCACATTGCCACTTTTACTAATATTTCTTGGTTTCTCAGGTTATTTTGGGGCATTTGGGCCATAAAACAAAAAAATATATATTTCCTGATGGGGGAGGGTTACCCTGTATGTATAATAATGTGATTTTTTATGGGTTAAAACTGGACACTGTGGTAAGATGGTGTATAAAAATGTTAAAATGTGGGTATTCAAAACTGTGGTTGGCAAGGGATTTCTGTACAGTACAGCACAGAGCTGTATATATGTTCCAAGTAAATTGCATATTTAAGTAAAAAATAGATGAGAATATTTATAGGATTTTATCTTTTTTTTTCACATGATACATTTTTTTGCTCTTTCACCTCTAATGTTTAGGATGTTATTGATTATGTAATATTAAATGAGAAGGAATGTGCCAGTAAGATACTTACCTGTATACATATATGATACAACAGCATCCACAACATCAAAATTGACATCTATTGGAAGAGTAAATCGACAGAACTGGTACAGGTACTTAAGTTTCTTCCTACGCAGATACATCTGTCGATAAAAGTAAGGACTACGAGCCACTAGGACAGCACGATGAGCCTGAAAAGAAAATACAGTAGTGATTTTGGAAAATGGTTAATCTATTTAGATACTAAGTGCCCCAAAATTATCAACTAATAAAGCATGAAATTAGGATTTAACTTGAATCTATTATTTTAAGGAAATTACAGTAAAAATGGATGCATATCACCAGGATGAAATTATATTCTGTTCAGACACAATAAAGTTTCTTCTTTCCATTTAAGAATACTGTACACATGGTTTTTGGAGGTACATGAATTTAAGCAATGAAAAATGGATCATATGATGTGTTGTGAGTAGCAAGAGCGAGCTGATCAAGTGTGGGGAAATCTGTTTTCTGTGGTTCCTGGTAGCTCAGACCATACTCTTACATGTGCGACCCAGGAACACAGGCTTCTTGCCCTTTTCTCCCATCAAATTAAGTTGCAAGACATAAAGGACCTGATGACGTACATATCTATCCAATACAAGCAGTTCTTTGTGGACCTGGTGACTGAACAGGAGGCACAGGATGCTGCAGCAGTCGTCAAAGATGAGGCTTCACCGGACAATGACGTGCTGGATTATTAATTTTTAACCCTCCCAACCCTCTACTCTTCAGGCATGCAGGTCATGACTGGTTATGATGAGCATGACTGTTTCCATTATTACCTATTCTGACTGTGTTGTTTATGTCATCTTGATTAAAGTTCAGCAAATTGTAAATCCATCTCATAAAATATTTTAATATTTTGTATTACAGCTGTACAGGTAGTTTTTACCATAAGCAATCAGGCATATTATGGAATGTTACACACTTTTCATACATATTCATGATATAATAACCCACACCTACAAAATAAGACAAAATAGGAAGAAAAAAATCAAATGCCTTTTTCTCAAAAATTTTTTTTCGTCAGTTTGCCCTTGCTACTCACAATGCCTCATATAAAATGATTAGAAACTTTGTTAAACACAAGTTAAGGATGATTCTCCTCTTACTTGTCCTTAAGTCATACCATAGAAGTATTGTGACCACTTGCTAGTGTACCACACAGTCTCCAAGTTAACAGTGCAGCTCAAAGACAATTGCTTACTCAATCTCTAAATCTTGAAGGTTAATAATTGAAAAAAAATTCATTCCAGAACATAATATGAAAACTTTCAGATATGAACAACTCTCCTTAGAATGTCTTCTTGAAGGGTCTAATATGGACAGAACCAGTTAAAATTTTATTTGTCAAAATAAGAATAGAGTTTATACCTACATAAACCATCTGTCGTTTATCCATATCGACAAGAGCGGTGTTGCAGTCAATGCGTAGTTGTCTCATCTGCTCCAAGGCATTACCAACCGATGGATCCCCAAACTGATGATAGGATGGTTCAGTTGCTATATCCTCCAAGCCATCAGTCGCTCCTCCATCATCCCACATTGGTGGTGGTGGCGGCTGTACTTTTCGTGGCCTCCCAAGACGACCGGGGATCCGTTCCACGGGTGAAGTGTTCAGAGGGTCCCGTGGACCATATCCAACCACCTGTCATTTATTGTATATGAATAAAACAGTTAAGAAGGACTCTAATATAAAAAACAACAACATTATTGATCCTTTAACACATAAGTAAGTTTTATATTTCCTTCTCAATGGTCAAATTAAAGCTTTGGCTGGGATGCAGTTATGAGATTAATGGAGTAACTACTGATTTGCATGCACTCCTGACAGGTCAACAATGAAGGGTTGGCTCTGCTGCATAGGAAAACCTAAAATATGTGAATTAGCTTTCTTTTGCATTAAGTGCAGCCACATACAATAACATCTACAATGAGACCATCCATTTTAAGAGTTTAAAATATGGGCACCATGAGCAGATACTCTGTAGAAGAGACCCCATAATCACTTATCCCATTCCAAGTATCATGTTTAACAAAGCCAAGCAGAGTACAATGTACCCACCTTAACATCATCAGCCTCATCAATAAGTACAGTAACTTGCTCTATTCTAAAGGGTCTGTCTCCGTCATGATCCTTCTTTATTTTGTTCAAGTCAATAAGTGTAGCATTTGGTGCTAACTTGGTGACAGACCCTGGTGGTGGCTGAACTGGAGCAGGGAGAGGCTGGCCATTGGGTCCCAGTGGTGTCCCATCAGCTGCTGTGTTGAAGATTGGTGGAATATTTGGTCCTGATCCAAGAGATGAGCATCCATTTTGTGTTGGCTGCAGAATTAAAAAACTTAATAGATATAAAAAACTACTAACTACAGACCAGGTAAGAAGTGCTCACTGTACAGGTATTGCCATTATCTTTTGACCTTTGATAATTAGTTTTTTATTTTGTTTGCACATTCTGTAAAAATGAATGTGTGTTAAAGTTAACAGAGTACAAGAAAATGAAGAAAATTATGTTCACCTACCCAAAATTATGAGGTAAACAACGACAGCTCACAGGTCAGCCTTACCCACTCTGAGTGCTAATGGGTGGCGAGTCAGTCAGTCGGCGATTCAGCTACACAATTACGTGCCATCTCCATGGATATTATTCCTGGTTGTCCCTTGTTTAAGATATTATTCCTGGTTGTCCCTTGTTTAAGATAATATATCTCGTTTCTTTTCGCTTAGCAATCATTTCACTTAGCGTTCTATTTTTCAGGAATGAATCCTGATCACTAAACGATGCAGCCCTGCACTGTATGGTGGCAAAAAGATGACGGTAGCAATGCGTGTGATGGAGGGTGCGGGATGGTGTTTTGAGAAATGCAATTAAATGCCAGGTAGCGATGTGTCCTCCTAATATTATGTATTTAAGTACAGTAATTATTAGGTGTTTTAATTGCCTGTATGTTGGCCTGGCGTGTTAATGCTAGGCCTTTACATACGCAGGTATAAAGCTAGACGTCGTATTCTGGATTTTATCACAGAAACTCGTTTTTAGAAAAAAAAAAAAAAGGCTTTTTCAGCTCATAATTTCAAGTAGATTAAATAATTTTCTTCTATATTAAGTTAAATGCACACACACACACACACACACACACACACACACACACACACACACACACACACACACACACACACAAAACACACACACACACACACACACACACACACACACACACACACACACACACACACACACAATCCTTCACACAGAATGAGAAAAAAAATAATACATCATCATCATCAGGTAAAAAAAAATTATTAAACACTGCTTCTTTTGACAGCAGGGGGCTTGCTAAGGGAAGTAGCCAGCTGAGCCAAACTGCTATGGTGAAGCTTGAAGGAGGCCACATGTGACTCAATCAGAGCCTGCAAATGGCTGGTGTGTTAAAGTCTCAGGAAAGGATTTCATGTAGTACATACCAGTGCCTGGGAGGCCTCAGGAGGCACCACAGTATCACCATCTGGTACAATCTCCTTGTACTTTTTACATTTTCCCGCCCCTCCACTTCTGCCATGAACACGAGACACGGTTCAGTACTATCACAACACTGTTATCAATAAATGAAATCGCTGTGATGAACGAGAAAGCAGCACAAGCCACGAGTAAATGGTCGGAAATGTGGGCCAATGTTACATCTTGTGCTGTTGAACCACAAAGGGGGACTGGTGTGGTCACTCATGTAACCTTGGAGGCGGTCTACAGAAGTGCCAGATCACACCGACATTGTCAAATGTGCATCTTGCATACCCAGCATTCATACAAAAACATAGCATTATTTTATTGTAATGTTTTAGTTCTTACGCAAATGTAAACCCCAAGAGTGTTAAGAGGGTTAGGAACAAGCTTGTCTCATAAGGATGATGATGTATGAAGAGGAGAACTATAATGAAAATTTATTACTAGTAAGAATTAGTAAATAACCAATAAACATTAAGGGATGTTTGAGCATGTGTTGATAGGCAAATAATGAAATTTTGAATAATGAGGAGCTATAGCCTGTCAACGGAGGGTGCCAACATCACCAAATACTTTATTTGTAACAAGGAACTGCTACATGTGTAGACAGACCAGTAATTAGGTGCAAATGGACAAACAATTACCTGGTTGGGTATCGGATTAAACAGATTGGGATTAGGATCTGGATGATTGCGTGTTGGTGCTCCTGCTGGGAAGTGTCTCTGACAGGCATGAACAGCCAAGCGTCCATCAGCTAGCCCCAGTACAGTCATCCATCGTCGATGACCTTCCTCATCCTTACTCTTCCTGACTGAATAAACAACCACACCTGTAAGACAAAAACAAGTATGACACATTTGTAGAAGACATGAGAAAAATACAGTAATTTTTCCAATACTGTACTGAAATCCACCAAAGAGTGAAACTAACAGAGTTGTAAAGAAACTAAATAAATTTACTTGAGTACTGTACTCAAGTAACATTTTTGGGTATCTACTTTTTAAAAAGTACTCAAATTTTTCAGTACTTTTACTTTTACTTAAGTATGGTTTTCTAATACTTTTACTCCAATATAATTGAAAAACAAAATTCGTTACTCGTTACATGCAAACTAATAATAAAATTTTAAATTAATTATTAACCGTAGTAAAAGAGTTGTGTGGGTAGAGGCGTGAAGGGTATGGTGTGGGTGTGGGGAGACAACATGTGGTCACATACAGTACCTAGAGGTCTCATGAGGTGACATTAGGTCAGGTCAGGTCAGGTGGCAGTGGCCATGACAGCGGACATTCCCTTTATCTTTTTGTGTCCATTAGCACCTTGATCACCCACCTCACCTAGCCTACCCAGGGGCCAGCCCAAAATCTGGGGGGGGCATAGAATCGCCCCTGTATGTGACTTATCTCTCAAGCTTAACACCCCACTACCTACATCTGCTGCTTGTGAGCATCTGTTTAGTCATGCTGGGCTTATTATTTATTATCTAATTAATTTAATACACCCCAAGGGGGCGACAAGACTACTGTAGTTGTAAGACCATGCGGTCAAACACTAATACTGTACATTGGTCCTCCTGTCTCGCAGGACACGCTATGACTTGTGATATAGACACTATTGATATGATTTAAGGACACTGGGAGTTAGCACCCACCAAAGAGTGGGTTAGTGTAAAAGAATTAAATCTAAATTGTTACGAACAAGTAGATGGTGACATATAGTGGTGAGTGACTCTCCCTGTGGTAGGAGGTCTCTGACAGTGGGAGAGTCAAGGCAATAGTGTTGAAGGGAGTTAGTGTTGGGACAGTTACAGAGTTTACAGGAAGAGAAGTGCAGGTCATCCCCCACCTCAGATTCTTTCCAGATAGGTCTGTATCCTAACCTAATGTCAGCAGAAACAACATTACTCTATGTCTGCGGACCGTAATTCCACGTCGACGATACTTGTGTAGATAAGGAAGAAAGTGATCATAGTGTTGGATGGATATATTTTCAGCCCGTTCACTATCCCAGTGATGGATTGTGGGGAGAAGAGCGGCTGAACGTATGCTCTTTTGGTAGTTCATGCTGGGCTTATATTTAGGCCTAAAAGATCCTGATTGGACAGCCATAATTTTGATAAAAATTAGTTAATGATTAATCCCAAAAGAAAGATTTACAAATAACCATGTGTAATGTTGTGTGTCTTATATTAGCTTTAGTTAACTAGTTGTTTTATAGTTTACTGTCGATTTATTTTAATATTTGAAACAATTAATAATTTTGTTGTTACTTTTTACTTTCAGTACTTGAGTACTTTATGAATGAAATACTTGTTTACTTCTACTTGAGTAATATTTTGCCAATGTAACAATACCTTTACTTAAGAAACAAAGTTTGGAACTTTTTACAACTCTGGAAATTAAATTATATCTATATAAAAACATGAAGTTGTTATTAAAGAATTTTTAATTCCTTACCCTAAAAATGTAATTCAAACTGCCTTCCAGATATTTTAAACACACGCCAAAGAAGACGACTTTCCAAGATACAAATATTGTGAACATACAAACTTATAGTGAGAGAAATAACTGATAACCCAATTACTGCCATATTAGGAAAGCTGAGCTACCAATGTGAAACATTCCCTTTCATAATATTTTGTCAAGTTTGCCATATTGTGTCATTGTTTGACGCTGTGAGAGTCCACGTACTTTTCTTGGCGGATGAACATTTAATACACTGTGAGAATAGGAAACAATGATGAAGGAAACTGCAATTAGGGAGGGAGGGAGACTTGCACAGTACATCTTCATCTTCACAAAAATAAATTACAACATTCGGCATCTACTTATTACAGTACTACCATATAAGAAATAAATCTGACCTGGAGATGAGGCACCACAACCTGGCACATGGCATCTTCTGGACACCCCTCTGACATCTCCAGTTATGGACATACCCTGGAATACCAGTCACCTGTTAAAGAAATCTTTATCATTAAAGGAACAGCTAATATTTCAACATTCACATTCAATCACCTGAATACCCTCAAATAATGGTAGTACAATGTTTACACAGAGTACTGTACTTAGGAAATAAGTGACTGAGCAAGACAGTTATTAAAAGAATGCCTTGTTACCCAAAATCAGATATTGTACTTCCTAGATGTGTTGAAATACATTTAGAAATGTTTTAGAACATTCAAACAGTCAAATGAAAGGCCAAAATAGTTTTACACATACTATACTACAGTAGTTTGAGAATCCCCAAAACAAGCCAAGTTCAGTATGTTGCTTTTCAGGTTTGTATTAAATACCAGCAGCTGGGTTGTTAGGAGAACGCTAATAATTATTGTAAATCTCAAGAACCAACTTAATTGTTTTAATAACTACAGGTACCATATGTCCTGCTCTACACCAATATGCCTGGTTTTCCAACACAGTTACTGTACTGTACTGACAAAAGATAAAGAAAGCCAACAGCCATTTAAGGTGAGGTAAAAGATCTGACCAATCACTTTAAAATTTTGTACTGTCTTGAAACCTCAATCCAATTTGTAGTTTGTACTGTACCATCAACAAGACATTCAGCCACAGTGAAAAAAAAATTCTACATTAGATTTAAATGATGAACTGGACTGTTACATGTAACACTTAGTCTAGTAGCCAGTCTGTTACATGTAAGGAAACAACCTTCGGAGGTTATTTCACATTCATTCCAAATTCAAATTGTTTGTTAATTTAAAATATTGTATATGAATTAAGGCAAAATACAAATTAACAAGGGTTATAGTGTTGGTGGTGTGGCGATATTAGAGCAGACTGATGGGGGCATGACTCAGCATCAGGTGACACAAGCTCTCAGCAACATTAAAGAACTCAAGGTTGCTTTAATGAGTGCTGAACCCAGCTTGTATCACAGTGACAAACTCAGTGAACAGTTAGACAGTTTGGTGGAACCCTACAGACAATGTTACCAGGAGTTTATTAAATGCTGCTGCCAAGTTCTCATCACCACCTATTTTATGCCTCAATAGTTCGAGGAGCCTTCAACACCCCCTGCCTGGACCCCCATCATCTCCCACACCCCCACTATTTGGTGGAGTATCGTATAATTAAGTTCCCGGGCTTTCTTATTTAATAATGTAGATGTATTTTATGCGACTTTATGTTTCATTTTTGGAAGGTTAAGTTGGTTACCCAAAGTCATTCTAGAGTAAAGGTCTGGTAGTCCAGTACAATATAGTGTTTTAACACATGGTAAAGAGCAATGCTTGCATGGATTTCTGATTGCCAGAAACTAAAATAAAGTATTGTACAACATATAGTACATGATAATTTTACTGTGCTTGAGGGGTGGTTCACTTGAACGGTAAGCCCCCCCCCCCCCCACCCCCCGAGAAAAAAATCGCAATAACTAGCTTGTAATACAACTTTATGTGGTTCATAATACAACTACAGTATATGTGAGGGTTGTGTATCACCACCACTCATTTTATTCCTGCTTGTTTAGAGGTTAACTACAGTATTTTACAGCATATAAGACACTTTTTTGTCTGAAAAATGGTTAAAAAAATTAGTCTGTCATCCTATATGAAGCTGCAGTCTACAGTAGCTAATGAAGCCCCCAGTTGCTGTCTCCAGTAGGCTGAATTCTACCTAAGCCAACTCCAGAATTAAAAATTTTATCGCTTATTTAAACACATTATTTTTTAGTAAAAATATAATTATTTTATATATAAAAGCTTGATTTAAGTAGGATCTCAAGTTTCGCAACTAATTGGTACCAGTTTTAATATCGCAAAATTTAAAATCGTGAAATGAGTGATGTTTAAATACATGTAAATAAGCCTAATCGGTTCCACAGTGTCACTCGAACCCTTCTATAACGACCTACAACCCAACCCAGAAAATGACATTACAGTATTGTATTCATACTTATTATATTGTACATATTGTTGATAACAATATTTATAAACACTCATACTGTAGAATAACTTACCTTGATGGAGTCAGTGAAATGATGGACGGGGCTGGTTGATGGGTCCCAGGCAGGGAGGACTGGTTACTGCTTCCTCTCCTCTAACCTCAGCATCAAATCCCTCAAAGTCTTGAGGCAGCTCTTCCACCAGTAAGTCACCCAACACTTCATTATCATCATTGGTGGTGCCATCATCATCTCCTAAAGCGATGTTTGCCAAGGCATTAACAGGCTGGGCCTTGTGCAGGTACTGAGTAATAAGGGCTTGCTGATGAGCATTAACAAGAGACATGTACAAGGCCTTATAGTCCTCCATACCCTTAACAAGAGCAGGGCAGATAAGGTTCCGAGGATGAGGCCTGGTTTTGTATTCTTGTAGCTGCTCACTGAGACGTACAATGCTTGTAAGCAACTCAGGCTTAACGTCATCCTCTCGTGTTGGTTGCTGTTCTTCATCCTTCTCCAACATTTCTTCAATTGTCGGTTGCTGCTGATGTTGACCAATGATTTCTTGCAAATCTTCAAACTGAATATCCGAAACTCCTGATGCTGGGATTGATCGCGCTGCCTCCACTGTGTCCATTAGTGTTGCCGCCACAGACCGCCTCTCCCCGCTTGCCTCGGTCTGTTCTGCCCACTTACCTCGGATTTAGCGAACAAAGGTTTCCATGCGTGTAGCACTGTTGCAACATTAATCTTATGCCATGCCCCAGCAATTCTGTCCACTGCATTTTTAATATGATATTTCTTCCAAAATTCACAAACTGATAACACTTCACAGTTGTGGGGTAGTGAGGTGCTAGGAATTGGGTCATGTACCATCTTCTCCTCCTCCTCCTCCTGGTTAGCTGGTGCTGGTAGAGCCTGGTCACTGTCAGAGAGTTCTGCCTCGATTTTTTGTAATTTAACTACGGTAATGAATCTGTCTGCTGATGAAAGTCTTTAGAGTGACTGATAGTAGATCAGTTTAACACATGGTCAAGTGGCTGCAGAAGCGGTGTGGTGTTAGGAGGAAGGAAGATAACTTGTACATCAGGGTGGCGTCCAATTAGAAACTTAAGAGTGTCCAGGAGCATTATCCATCACCAGGATCACTTTGAAGTCAATGTTCTTCCTCCGGCAGTAGTGTTGGGAGTCAGGAACAAAGTGCTTGTCAAACGGTGCATAAAGACGATGTATGCCAAGCTTTCTTATTAGATGTCCAATAAACAATAAACTGTGACATATGGGCATGACAGTAGGCTCTAGGACGGGCAGCACGGTTAACAAGAAACCCCCACTTGCATTAGCTGTGAATAAAACTGTAATCCTGTCCTTTGAAGTCTTTAGACCCCTTGCCTATTCCTCATCCTTGGCAATAAAAGTGGTCTTAGGTGAGCGCTTCCAGAAAATGCCAGTTTCGTCACAATTGAGGATCTGGTCTCGGCAATAACCACCCTTTTTCACAAGAGCTTGAATGACAGGTAGATAATTTTCTGCTGCTATGACATCAGCCGATGCACTCTCTCATGGTAGTGGGCAAACTTGACTTCATAATGCTTCTTAAAGGCAGCCAACCAACCAACAGAAGCATTGAACGGTGGTGGAGTTAACGCGTTTCTTCTGTGCAACTGTAATGTAATAAACACATGCTTGACGCCTTATCTGTGGCCCAGACAGGTCGCCATCAGCTGCAAACTATAATAATTTGTATGTTAATTCATGTTCCTTCTTCTTTCAGTAATGAAAGCTCTTGTTAAACGACCCACCCACCCCATGTCTTTGTATGTAATAAGTCATTTTTGTCTAATGTATATTTTCAGCCTTCAGGCTGCAGAACTTTTTCAATAAACCATTAATTATTGTTTTTATTATTATTACAGTTTCTTCTTTCCACCCACGTGTGAAGGTAATGTTCTGTGATAACAAGCAGTACGCTTCGTTGTGAAGTATTGGAGAACGTCCTGCTACTAGAATATCTTGAGAATACAGAAGCAGTTAAGGCTTCCTTGTGCTTCTGAAGGGAATGTATGGTTCAGGGCAGTTGAACCTACGCATGATTTCACAGGTACAAGCAACACTTTTGATCATATCAAGGGTATATTCCCTCTTCTTCACCCCCTTACGGTAGTCACGCTTGGCTTGTTGACCTTCTCTACGGCCATCATTACCACCAAAACCGCTCCCGACATTTACATTACACACATCACTCATCGTTAATACACAAGAATCTCACAAAACGCAAGAGCAATGGGTTATATAATCCAAGGTTAACGCACCGCTCGCTCTCGCTCATTCAAACTAACTGCCGTAAACAAAAAACACGGCGGATAACAAAGGACCATGACAAGGCCCACTGCCCATTGACTCATGAAACCGATAATGAAAATTGCTATTCTCGAGAGGCTGGAAATTTTAAGTTACGCGAAACATGTGAATCACAAATCTAAAACCTCTAAACTTGAGATCCTACTGTACTGTACAGATGATCAGGGCAGGATTCAGGAGTGGGCAAAGTGGGCAGCTGCCCAGGGGCCTCCACATATTACAATACGTATTTTATTTATTTGTTTATTCATTTGGATTATTCTTATTTCCATTCTTTAAAATTCATGGGAATTTGTACACTATCAATAAATATACAGTTAATTAAAACTTTTGCAATGTTCTAATTTCCTCAATATAACTGCTTATGGCTTCAAAATTCTCCAAAGAACCGTTCAAATTTCAAAATTTTCCCGGGGGGCTTACAGCGCCCCCCGGAACTCCCAGATGTTTAGGCTCGCTTCACTCCCCACCCCACCCTCTTGGGTAGTTATAATGAGGGGGGGCCTCCACAAAGAGGCTGCCCATGGGCCTCCACAGGTCTAAATCCAGCACTGCAGATGATACAGGGGAGGATCCAGGAATATCTAAATGGGGGTAGGGGGTCCAAAAAGTTGTGGGTGGAGGAACATGGCGAGCTCAGCAAGCCCATCCAGCTGATTTGAGGGAGGGGGCACTGTAAGCCCCCTGAAAATTTTTTTGAGATCAGACCAATATCATGGGCATTATGAGACCATGTGCACTTGATATTAGAAGATATTCTGAGGTGAATAGTAATTACCTTTTACCACAATTTACTATACAGTAACTGAAAGTGGAAGATGATCAGAATAAAAGAGCAGTTCCAACAAAGGTACAGTAATACTCTTTTATTTAAGAGAAATTTGCAAATTATTACATAGAAATGAAACAGAAGTTAGTCATGCTGTACAGAACCATCCTTCGGTCATTTTTCTGAAGGAACTTTTGGCAAATGTTATCTATGCCAATATCACAGCTCTGGTGAAGGTGCATCAGTATGAAGCCAGGGAGTTGCTCCTCTGACATGGTGGCTCACAGAAAGGTTTTTGCTCTTCTGAGTCCACTAAATGATCTTTCTGCTTCACAACTTCCAATTGGTAGTGTGCATCCTATTCTAAGCAGGACGACAATATTTGAAAACTGATCCCCATCTACCACCTTGAGGCAGCTAAGCAGGCTGGTCAGCAACTGGTCAGCATTCTGCCTCTGAAAATAGAGTTACACACGTTCAGATCTATGTTCTGTGACTGAAGATATCGGATACAAAAAGGACTCACATTAGGACGTATATTTTAGTCATTATGAATATTATTACTGTACAGCAAAAAAGAAACACTCAATGCCTTCCAATTTCATATCTTAATTTAACTATACCCATTTATAAAACATATACACAAAATATGGCTGTTCACAGCTTGCATGGACAGTCTGTTGGGTGCTACATGGAACTCAGATATTGTATATTAATATCTGCAATTGAAAAACAAAGCAAATAACTTATTGATATATTCACATACCTGCCAATGGGACATCCACTACTGTAGCTCGTTGGCGAGGGAAGAAGGAACTGGAACATCTGTCTCCCAAAACCTCAGAGAAAATGGAGAAAAAGCCTGGAAGATGGGTGGTAACAAGAAGTACTGGAGACTAAGTGTAGGGTCAGAAAAGAGGTTTACAAGGGAAGAAGCATGCAAAGAACACATTCATGAATGTGTTGATTAGTGCAGAAGGAAGAGGAGAGGTTTTCAGAATAGTCAGGTGAATAATGGGTAGAAAAAAGGATGTTGGTGGGAAGTGTGTGAGAAGTAACTGAATGACTGATTGATTGAGGTAATTACATCCCTGGCGATGCAACAGCGTAGGTCATATGTCGCCGAATTAAAATTAAGTCTTCAAAGACGAAAAATCAAATAATGCAAGGTAAAACCATAAGTACAGTACGTACTTCACTTTAACGAGTTTCACGTTAACGATTCATCACAATAACGAAAGTAATGAAATGAGACACCTTAACGATGCAGGTTGATGATCTGACTTTCTGCCTCAT